GGTCCCTTCCAACCTCAACCATCCCAGGATTCTGTGAATAATAATAAAACCTGAGAGGCCTAACACAAGTCTTCTGGGCTAGAAGCCTAACACAGTCTTCTGGGCTAGTGTTCCAGTTCTACAATGCCCACAAATCTGCCTTTAGTGTGGCAGGTTTAAAGACGAGTGTGAAACCACCTGTTAGGCAGGTGAGGGACTGAGCTATGAAATATTCCTCTTAATTCCCRATACTGAGAAAACAGTAGATGCTCCCACACCAAAGTTTTTAAAACTTAAGCTTTTTTAAGTGCATTTAAAGTTTTTTGAAAAAAAATCCTAAATATATGTTTCAATGCATTTGGATATTCTTGGTCTTCAAAAAAAAACATCATGCTTTAAAGTCTCATAGTTTTTCTGCTTCTCATCCCTAACTGCAATGAACCTGCAGGCCGTATTCCCTTCCAGTAGCTCTGCACAAGCCCTCTGCAAGTTTAAGGCTAACTGGTCTCACAGATAACCTGATCCCAGACACAGAAAGACCTGCTGTTCCCATCACTTTCATTCCATTTCTAAGAGTAGTTTAAGCAACTACTTTCCACAGAGCCTCTGTGCACCTTTCCATAATGATGCCAAAAACTGTCTTGCCTTTGCCCTTATTAAAAATCCATGCAGAACTTAATAAACATTAACATGATCCTTAACTGGGAGTGATAAAAATGAACTCGTGGCAATGATTTCAATCTGAGGTCACATCTCTTGCTTCATACCCCATTTGGCAGCTCCAACGCTGGAAAGAACTGAAGGAAAAAGCCTGGACATGCGTAAGGCTGGTGTGACCACTAGTAACAAACCTGTAAAACTGAAGTTTGGAATAATCTAACAAAAATGCGAAACCGTATCTTGTTTTATTCCAATTCCTACAGATTTGTCCAAATACTCTAACAGAGTGTTTGTGTGAAAACACTAAGACTCAGGTTAAATCAGTAGAGACACTGAAATGAATCATCAGTTTCTGATGTTTTCCCCCTTTTTCCAGGTTCATCATCCATCTTCAAAATTAACAAATTAAGTATCCTCAAAGGGCCAATTATTTCTGCTTGTGTTTCAAGCACCAGTCCTATCATCTGCAAGCTGAAGTAACAGTTAAAAACCCTTAATGCTATTGGAGGCAAAAGCCAAATCTTGGAAACTTGCAGCAATGAAGTTGGATGACTCCAAACTTTTTTTTGAATTGATTCTAGGAAATTAGATTTTATAGAAAAAGCAGATGTTCTCCTACTTCATCAACTCCAGCTCCCCGCATGCTTAGCTGATCTACCTCCTGGTGAGACATTCTCTGACTACCAAGAACTACTGGGATCTGTGAAGAATGACCAGTGCGCAACAGCAGAGGAGGGAAGAAGCTGGTAAGACACAAAACTCTCCAAAAAGCTACCTCATCCTGACTAATTCTCTTAAGGAAATAACCTCTAAGAAATAAACCTGCAAGGCACYGCAAAAGATTGGACAACATATTTGTACCACATGCTCTGCTAGCACAAGGAATCCTGCAGACCAAGGCCTGGGTAAGCTACCCCAGCCCCATTCCTTTGATCCCCTGTGATCTTTTGCGATGGTCTGTGCTTGGCATGGGAAGATCTTCCTCCCATATTTAGCCCCTTCCTAGATTTAAAGCTTCAGCAATTCTCCTAACTCAAAACTTCTCTAAAGCCACATATATAGAGTTAGAGGATTAGCATCGGAACCACAGCAAGACCTCACTGCAGTTTAAAGTGATGCAGCTGAAGGCTTCAAGCCCACTTCAAATGTGCGAGAGCTGAGTCTTGAATCAAAGTTCCCATCTTCAACTTGGAGCAAGCAGGTTTTAGACCCAGCCTACTCTGCAGCAGGCTATTCCAATGGGAACTCTTATCTGATGCATTAGTCTTTAAAGCCTGTTCCAAGAAAGGATCCATAMCAACCACATCCTTTTGCTTTCTGTTTAAAGGCAGGAATGCAACACTCAAATGACCTTTACCAATTAAGTCAGGAGGTGTGCTCGCCTTTAAACTGCTCCTCCTTCCTCTTTTCTAGCCACATTAATTAATATTTCCCAGCACTACTTTGAAAAAYAAAGCAAACTTCTGTGTACATCTACTAGAGAAAATAAGGATGAATGTGAAGCTTCCATCTGACGAGGAATACAGGGAGAGATAAGGGCCGACTCCCTCAAAGTGCAGAACTCAGAAACACCAAAGGAAAACACTCAGTGCCCTCTTAGTTTCTGAATTCTACAATAGAAGAGTTGATCTGCACAGAGCATTCAATAATGCTATGGTTTTCAGTGTTTTCAGGATTGGTGAAAAGCAGCACCAAGGAAGATCCTGAAGAAAAACGAAGCATCTCTTTCATTCGCAATTAACATGATACCACTGTATCGATCAAGAATTTAGCATTATGAAGATGCAYTCACCTATTGCTTTTGGAAGATTTAATAGTAAAAATATAATAAAAACCATGCCCTTATATTAAAGCACCACGATACAGGACTAAGAAACACCACGATAAAGGACTAAGAAATAAACAGTAAGAAATTAACAGTATCAGCAACCCATCCAAAGCACTAAATGTAAAGTTCTGAGCCATTCTCATTTTATATAGRGTCAGCATACGTATTTCTTGAGGATCTGTACATAATAAATAAGTGACTGGCACAGTATATTCGCTCTGTCAAACAGATTTTTTTCTTCTTTACTGGAGTGGCTTAAGAGGGTCACAAGTAAGAAAGCAACAGAAATAAGATTTTCTATTTTCTTGGCTCCAATGATAAAAACATAAACCACAATACACTGCACACAACTTTGGATTTCAAGGAAAACTCCTTCAAGCTCAACAGCAGCTAGCAGCTTGTCTCTATTTGCTGTCACTCTAGATCAGAAGGGCCCACATGCTTTTTTTTCCCTTTCCTGCCCCTTTCAGTTACACTTGAGCTCTTTGACTGAAAAGGTCTGGAACAGATTAAAAGTCCGACCACAAAATAAAGAGCCTTGGCAAGTACTCAAGCCTGTCTGGGATACACATACACAGTGGGCCCAAAAAGGGAAGCTATGCAGCAAGCAACCCTCATGCACAGTCTTTTGGCCATTTCTAACTTCTTTCAGTTTAACTGCGCAGCCCTAACATTTCATGGAGCTTCAGCAGGCACAAGACAAGGAGCTTTTACCCTTACAGTCTGACATACTATTTACAGGAACACAAAACAGCTCTGAGAAACACGATGCATCTCACTCACGACCTCTGTCAATAAAACCCTTTTCCACACTGCTTTCCAGCTCCAGCTGGCCCTGTGGCTCTTGCCATTCTGAACACTGCAGTAATACAAAGMAAAGCAACATACATATACTGCAAGATTACTTAAGTAAATACAATCCGCCTGTCTCTCTTCACTGCAAGAGAGGACACAGATTTTTCAAATTACTCCTTCCTCTTAAAGCCTTAGTCTCGTATTCAGTAATTTTGAAGCTGCAAATGAGCCACAGGCTCCTCCTGCGATACAGGAACCTGCAGGTGGGTGTCAAAGCCTACACCAAGCTGACGGTCATCAAAATAAAAGGAAACAAAAACATACATATATATACACTTATGCCCCACCTTYGGGCTCAAGTTGCACAGTGGTTCAACCTGTCCAGAAGCAGCTGATAAACAGCGTGACAACGTAGTGTTTTCTGTAAGAGCAAGCGGATGTTTAACACAAGCACTTAAGCCTGCAAAACAAWACTGCTGAAAATTTAACAGCCATTTCAAAAACCCAAAGCAGAGCCGGCGCTAGCGAGCACTGCAGCTCTCTGTTTGTGTGGCATTCATGGAGTTAATGCCTCTCCCAAAAGGGGCCCACAGTTGTTGTTAGGTCAACCCCTGTAAAGCTTCAAAGGCTTCGAATCCCCTCGGCCTGACCTACTCAGTGATCTGCACACTGTTTTCATTTAGCTGCTCCGAGGCCAAAAGCAAAGCTTGAAATCTACAATGATTTTTCTTTCTTTACCCTACTGTTTTTTCCATTGCTGTGGAAAAATAGCTAACATCCAAAAGAGATGAAAATAGTAAGTTACTGGGAAAACAGATCAAGGACAAATTAATACGTCTAATAGAGTTTATACACACAGGTCATGACTTCTTGCAAAAATAAAATAGCAATTCCACTGTAAATACGTAAGAACAGTCACTTGGATGATCTAAGCAGCTCATTTAAATGTCTCTTTAACAATGTTATATCCTATTGCTATTTGTATCGATAGTGGCAGCATTTTACTCCAGAGTTTGCAAGGCTGCTTTTAGCGTACAGAAACACTGCTGGAACACGAGAGTAGCAAAAAATGGCCCGAACCGCCAATTATCAGTTCTAATGCATTGAATATTTAAATTAGGAATGAAAAGATCTAGATGTAATTTACTATTCCTACTAATTGGCTGTAACATAGTCTAATTAATTTTATCTCTCAAAAGATGATTATGATAGAAGCAACAGAACCAAAAATTTCTCTATGTTTAAAGCAGATTTTTTTCATTATCATCACTGTGACAAGTGGGAATTATAAGCTGGCATATGTTTCAAGCATATTTAAAGAGAATAAAATATTATTAGACAATGACCTCTTTAGGACAGCACAAAGAAAAGTACTGATTTGGGAATTAAAAGGCTTTTCTGGCGTTAAATTTTGCAAGTTTAAAGGAGTCTGGATAAWGTTGTGGCAAACAAGCTGTTCCTGAATGCTGCCAAGTTTGGAAACCGTATGGATCATACAGCAAAATCTCAATTAGCATCTTTGGAGACATACATTCCTACCGGAGAGAAGCTAAAATCCTCAAGAAGGAAAAAAGGAAAAAAAAAAAAAGATTTAAATAAGGTCTCTATGATTCAAATTAAAATATATTTTAAATCTTATTTAATCTTACTACAAAAAGGTTCCAAAATATGTCTGCAAATGAAAGCTGCTAAGTGAACTGAAGCGGATCAAAAATGCTGAAGCGAGATGAACTTTTACCAAAGCGTGGGTCAAGCCTTGGGTCTAGCCAAGATGTGGTCTTGTTCTTATGGTTTATGTAGTAAATTTCTCCATCCTGGGTCATAGCTTGTTCCCATCCATCGGGGAGTGGGCCTGCAATATAGAAGGAAGGAGTTCATGGCGTGCTCTTGTTTGCTCCAGCTGAAAATTGATCTAAAAAAAATTGTAACATTTTACAAACATAACAGTACACGAAACAAGAGAGTTCCAAGCTCATGTCTAACATTTCCGGGATAAGGACAAAGAAGTGGCAGATGGGAAGTCAAAGACTAGGAACTATTTCTATCAATTTTATCTAAGATTTGGAGTTCAATTTTGAAGAATATTGTTTTATATAATTCTGACACTTCCTTTTGCTATAGCTGTGTAGTACAAAAAAGCAGCAATAAATCAAGCCTGCCAGAATGAAACCAGCATGAGCACCTAGAGAAAAGAAGAAGGGATAGTCTACCTTGCAAGGAAAAGTTCAGCTCATGAATAGAGGCCAGCAGCGAGAGAACATGACAAGACYCTAAAACTGTCTTTGGCTCTTCCATAATAAGCAATTAAAAAGTCAGGACTAATTTTCCCCTTTCCTCATAGTGTAACTTGCCGTGAAAGCATTAAAGGCTGCAGCAAACATGAAAACACAAACTGTAAAAGCAGAAGACAAAAAGCAAATGGAAAAGCAAAGGTCAAACCTGGCAGCAATGGACAGAACATGAAGCACTAGAAGAGCAGTGTCACCTCTAGGAGCAGGACAACACAAACGTGCCCCTCTGCTGTTTCCTAATACTAGGTCCCCGTGCACATGCCGTCCTGCTCCTAGCAGGGTCTTGAGGGATTTTCTCATGCTCTAAACTGCAGCTTCCAAGAAAACCACCTTTAYTTGGACACTGCCTGGAACCATCTCATTCCCATGTATATAGGATCATGTGTATTCATCTGTATTTGCTTTGTTTGAAAGCTCTTCTCCAGGTCAGCTTCATTTCATCGCAGATGCTTTACAAATATTTGTTTTAGATTCTTACATCTATCATGTAGTCAAAGACTTTAAACATGATCTAAATTGGATACAGGAAATTTTACCCTTTTCTTTAGATTTGAATGCAATCTTAAGATGATTTATCAAGTGATCCCCTATGAATATTAAGAAAGTAAGAGAAATTAGAAGAGGACCAGGGAGCAGTTTAACTTTTCTAACTGCTCTTCCTCGATGTACTATAACAAAACATTAGTAAGAGCCACCTGGCTATTAAGCTTTGACCAACAGGCTAGTCAGTACAACACGAAGTGCCTTATATTACGTATGTACAGTCACTAAGATTTCACACATGAGACTCTGATAGACACACAACAATTCAACACGTGCCTGAAGTATCTACTCCAGCAGTGTTCAAGCACACTCATTCTTCCCTCCTTGGTTTATTCTCATGTCAGGCTCCTGTTGAAGATTTCCATTGTTTAAAGGCCACTGGGGGAAAAAATAGACTTGCCTTGTTTGCTTAATCCCTAACTATGTTCTCAGGGGAATGTCAAAAACAGTAAAATAGCCACCAGATTGCATTCCAGGAATATCTCAAGGCGCAATCAAAATTTCTTACTCTAGTATTTGGTCCAAGAAAATGCCCCACAAACTATATTTCTAGCCTATACTCCTCCATATTGACTCAGAGAGCTTTACATTTCCTCAAACCCACCACTCCATCATTAAAGATACAAGTTTTCAAGAGAGGACAAATAGGGATCTAACAGTGGAATATCTCCTTCCTATTCTCACAAGTTTTCAGTACTACACACAAAGTAACAAAAGTACCTTGGCTTTTAGTAGAAAAACTAGTGAACAGAATGGGCATGAGAAGATGAGAATACTGGAAAATATTCATAAATTCTAAAAGATCGACAGCATAAAAGGACATCTATGTAGAATTCAAAATTCAACTTCAAAGAACCTGGCACGTGCCGTCGCATCCAAAACCCCATGTAGCTGAACTTGTAGATGCTGCTTCACAAAACCGAGGCACTTGTGCCCATCATTCAGGTGCAGAATGGACAGAGAACCAGATAAGTCCCTTAGGCGTCAAGCCAATATGCTGGCTGCAAGGAGGGGCCCTCCTCACCACCATCCTACCTGGGGTCCTTCAACTGCACACATCTTTACTAGGTGAAGCCCAGTGAGAAAGCATCTTCTAAACTCCACCGCTCAGAGAMCGGCTGGTTCTAGGAAATCCCAAACTAGCCCCGGGGTGCCAGTCCTGCTGAACATCAAGGGGAGCTGAATACTGGTCTAGCGTGTTCCTTTGGAGCAAGGAGGAACAAAACGCCTTTGAAGCAAAATGCCAGTGTTTGTTGGGTCCACCTACCTTTTGGAGGCACACTGCTTATTAGACTCAGTGATCTAAGGCTTTGCTAGACCCAGACCYGGCCAGGGCCCCATTTCCAAAGAAAATATAGGAGCAGCACAAGGGGCAGCAGAGGCCTCTGCTCAGCTGGCTGCCACAGCAGCAAGGCTGCCTTGCTAAGCGCCATCAGCAGCTACAGAAACACATTTGCATCTTCTGAAACTTTGGGCATTAAACACTATGTTGCTTTCTTCCCTAGCCAGTAAACTCTTCTATTCCTGTTGCTGTCCCTACGCTTTGAAAYGATAGTTCCAAATTTGACTAGTGTTATTTTTCTGAGAGGTGGTGAAACCAATGACTATCAGTCTAATTTTGTAACTGTCTCTCTGACAAACTCTGTTAGATGCAGTAACAGAGGAAACATGAAAGACCCCAGTGAAGGGCAGCAGACACATTCACTCAGGTACATCTAGGAAAATTCCTGTGCAATTAAATGTCTCCGTTTCCCAAAAGGCTCAACAGGAACAGAACTTCCATCACTCACTGAGGCYTTAAAGCATCTTAAATTATACAAGCCCTCTGTTGTTCCTTTTCAGATGTGTAAACTAAATACATCAATAATTATTTTAACTTATTCTCTACAAGCACCACCACCATGCTGGGTCCAACCATGAGCCCACCCAGCTCAGGTATCAAGGTCACAGTGCTCATCGAGCCCATACAAAGGGCAGGTGAGGCTGGAGAGCACATGCAGACGGCACCAGCCCCAGCACGATATGTCCAGCACTGGGAGGCCCCGCAGGGAGGTGCGCGGAGCCGCGCGGCCCTCGCGCCCACCCCGGCGCCCGCAGCCCCGCCGGCCAGCGCTCAGCGCTGTCTCCTCGGTGCTCTGGGCGCTACGTGAGCAGTTACTGCAGCCAAAAGTGGTTCCCAAGAGCCAGAAGCTGCACAGAGCGTGGTGGGAAACACACCGACTTCCCAAGCAGCAACTGCCCAGTATGAGCCACGGCCGAGGAGCAGAGAAGGGTCGTGAAGTCTCTCAGCAGGTGGAACGAACCAGGAGACTGATCTGCTTTGGGGACATGAATTTATTGATGGCAGCTGAGTGAAAAGTAGCCTACTTAGCAACTGTCAGCCTCTAAGTTTTTAGATAAAGCACTGGATGCCCAAACAGATTTAAAAACAAACCAAACCCCTCAAAACATGTAAGATGGTGGCTTCAAGTGCTCTCCCAGCCTCCAGGCCCTGTAGGTGATTTCCTGAGGTGATTTCTGTGCATCGAGCGAGCCAGGGAGGACACACATCCCGAGCCCTGCTCTAGGGTCCCTCTGAGCATCCCTGAACTCGGGACACCCGCACGACCCTGTGACAGGATCTCCTACTAGCAAATATGATCACAGATACAAACGTGCAGCTCTGCGAAGCTGCTCGTGCAGGGAGAGAAGAGTCAGCCACTTCACCTTGTCATTTACTAAGGTATTTTTAAAGACAGTTATCTACAACTTAGATTCCAATTTTCGAGTGTAAGCTATTTTTAGAGAAGTACTGATAAGGCATACCTCTGGGACCAAACATTTAGAGAGCTACAGCTCTCGCTGTGTGTAAATACACATGCAATATTACAGGTGTTCACGTGCCTCTCCTTTTGGCTGGTGTCTCCCCTTTTAGTGTATGTTTGTTTATTTTTCCCCATCAATTTTTCAGATACCATTTTTGCCATGAAATACACAATCTAGAACGCAAAGCAAAGCTCACTGCTGGCAGACAGAAAGCAACAGAGTAATGTTAGAGCAAAAATTTAACTAAGTCAAGCTATGCACTATGCTAACAAAGTAAATCTTAGAAATTCTTCTAATTTCTGTTAAATAAGTGTAAAATAACTCTAAATAAAGCTGAGAAAAAGCAAGAGTTTGCAGACAGAAGATGAACAAAACTTATCGCGAGGTTAATGTATCTAGATGTAAACTAGAGAATATTATATTAAGAGAACACACACAAACAACCTAGGAAAACAAACTCTGATGAATTAGTAAACACTACAGAAAAACAAAAAAAAAATGCTTTTTTTAAGTGAGAAATGAGCATTACTGCCATATGGACACTTAGAAACTAGAGTTCCACAACAGGACATACACGGTGCAAACCACACAGAAGAGACGAGGCTGCATCTGAAGCAAGCAAGGATCTAAAGCAAAGAGCCTGACCACGGTTTAGCTCCTGGCATAATCTTCCCTCTCCGTGGGGAGGAGGTGAAAAAAGAGCTTTTACCCACAGTGTGTTCATTTTCCAATCTACCTTAAGAGATGCCACCATGACCTACTTTAAGAGGTGCCCAAAATGATACAAGGGCTACACATTTTCACCAAAAAGCTGATTCGAAAACTGTAGTCTAAGGTAAGAGGAAAATGCACAGAGACAGCAACCAGCACCCAAGCTAAGCAGGGGCTAAGAGAAGCAGTGCAGTCAAACATGGTTCAGGTGATGAAATTACCTGGAAAAAGGCAATGTATTAACACAATTAGATTATCACTCTCATTTTATGAGACAGATGCTGTTTATTTTYAACTTTCAACTTCATCTCAGTAGGGACTGCATAGGACAGCTTTCTCAGTATAATAACCAGCTTTATTACTATGTAATTTCTTATAACTACACGTTTTCTTAAAAAGAAGACAGTTTTTTTTTTTTTATAAACATCCTTAGGGGAAAAATATACAAAACACATTAAGAATAATCAGTGCAGTTAATATAACACTTAGTATCTACTTGCTGCATACTCAGCAATAACAACCTTGCTTTCCTCTTTCCATTGACAAGAAGATGCATGTACTTCCAATGTTTTCTTTTGATGCTATTTCACTGCAGATGATTAAACAAATGCTATCTAAGAGTGTTGTATTTTTCCTCTTACATACGGCCCAAAACATTTCAGTTGATTACATGAAACATGTTTGGCAAAACGGAAAAAAGTTCTCCCCCAAAGAGTCACTTTCCACCCCCAATTCATTCCTTCCCATCACAGATGCATGCGAAAGAATACTCAAAATTGCTCATTCACAAAACCATGCTGGAAAAAAAATAAAGCTGTTTGGACACCTACTTATTTCTTTGAAGAAATRCAACTTGCAAAGAGATATACCATGTTCCCACCTATTTTAGCTGCTTCMAACAGGTGGAGTTTCTTAAGAAAAGCAACCTAGAAATCTCAACAGCAGCCGAAAGAATATTCCCGTTTCTGAATTTAGTTTTAACCTCTTTCTTGTGATTTGCCATCACCCTTACCATACCTTTTGGTTTTACTCTTCCTACTTCCCTTGAGCTCCATTTGTCCCATTCACTAGAAGGGGATGTTGCCTTCAACGTGCAGGTAGCAACTGTCCGAGCTCTGCTCTACGACTCCTTCTCCAGCTTATTTTCCCATTCTTAGTTAATGGAGACCTTCCATGGTTTTTAAGACTGCTCCTAAACATCTGTTATTTAAGTATTTTATCACAGTGTAACTGTATTCAGGTGCCCCTAAGGCAGATTGTAATTACATGTACTTAACTTGCACTAAGATTTGGTAGGACCTCCTGATTAAGAGCTACAACTAATGAGGATGAACTGTGCAGAAAAGAAAACATTCTCTCTCTTGTGCCACTTCAGATATTTCTTTATAAGTCAGTGACTTCCAGCTGTCCCACTGCTTACAGTTGTGGTTTTTTTGTTGCTGCTGTTGTCTTCTTTTTTGCTTTTCTTTCTCTCTCACTCCCCCAGTATCTTTCCTAAAGGCTCTCAAAGCACCAGGGCAGGTTTCATTGCTGACTTTTCATACAGGAAACTTGAGACTCAAAACTCTCAACTTCATTTCCCAGTTCTTGGARACAAATATCCAATTAGAACTAATAGACTAGTTTTTTATGGTTCTAGCACTCAGCTTTAAGTTCCAATGTACCCAGGGGATAGTTATTTATTTGCTTTTCCATTTCTTTTACTGTTTAGGAAAGTCAACAAGGAAGCAAATATTATGTAAACTCAGCAGTAAAAACTAACAGAAATGGACATAAGAAGCTTTACTGAAAACAAACACTTCTAATTTGAAATTAGTAAAACACAGGTATAAGAAGTAGAATCATATACATATAAAATCATATATAATAAATGCAGGTTCAATATTGTTTAATTCAAAACAGATTTCTGTTAAACAAAAGGAAGTTAAGAGCAGGTGCAAACAGAGTCAGTTCTAAATCACATTAGCTCAAGAGATCTGAGCTTTAAAAAAAGCTATAAAAACTATCAATACACAGAGAAGTTACGATTTCTTCATGAACTTATCGAAGTGACAGCGCTGGGAAAAAGGGCTTTCACCCTTCAGTACAAAAACATTTCTGCAATTAAACAAACATTCAGTGAACTTGTATTGAAATGAGTGTTCCCTCAAGTCACAGACAACCCCACATAGGTTTGTTTCACCTCTACTGCATGAGCAGCGAGACCAATTTAAGGCCACTTGGATCAACTTGCTCCTTCATATAAACCACTGATTTTTAAGTAATTCTTGAGTAGTAATTCTTTTTCAAGCTCTTTACTGTCATTAAAAGGGTGTATTTTTTTCGTAAGGATCCTTCCCTGGGATAATATCTATGATGGTACCTACTTTTTCCACATACACAGTGTACTGTACTTCACTACCAACATTTGTTTCCCTATTCATTCATAACACAATGGAAAGTTTGAGGAGCCACCTTAAAACACAGACCCTATATTGACATTCAGGCAAAGACTATCTAGTTTTAATATTAATATGGATATAAACCAAAGGCAAGGCACACAAGGGAACCGTCCCCTTTCTCCCATTCCTGCAAAAATGTGTTGTCATCTAGTCTAGTCTGGTGACCGACTGTGTTGTCAGACTAGTGCTGGAGATTTCTTAAGATGAGTTCACAGAAAAAAATATATATTTCCACATTACATAGTGAAAGCTTAACTGCTTTGAATCACAATTTGTKAAATTTGAACAGAATTCCTTCATTTGTTTCTGGATAGTCCAACCTCTCGGCCTAGCCAACCAAAAGCTGAGGTACAGTTTGCTCGGCCTCCCCTCTAACGTTGCTGTGAAGGGCACAGTTTGCTCACACCCGGTGATCTTTTGGCATTGCCTGGCAGCATGTGAATTGCAGCACAAAACAAAACTTTCTACACAGACAACAAAAAGCAGCGCACGAGAATAACCTTTGCAAAATACAGAACAGTAGACACACAAAATAAAACTCAGACTGCGAGAAAATAAATAAAACACAAACTTCAGTGACAGACAAAAGTTAACAAAGCAGAGGGAAGATTGCAACAGTCAAACTAGCMCAGAGCTCAGTTTATCTACTTGTTCTCTGCACATCAAGACAAGATAGCTCTGAAAATATATAGCAGTATTTAAAATCAAACATACTATACTGCTATCTAGTCATTGTCCCCACAAACTATCTATAAAAATAAAGATAAAAATAGAATAATAATAAAAAACCCCTATATTCTGGGAAGAGAYCCCTGACTTCTTCAGCTGAAGGAATTATTGCCATGATACAGGATTTTGGAAACGACAGGTGAGGAAAGGGGAAAAAAAAGTCTGCTAAAAAAAAAAAAAAATCCTGCTGCTAAGCAAGATTTTTCCATGTGTTTGCTATACTCACTTAGGGAAGACTGAAGAATGGGCTGTTTGTAACAGATGTGGGAGGTGTAAAAGAATACAGCACCACCAAGCTCGGTAAGCAAGCAAGGGGAGGCAGAAAAACATTGCAAAAGCATAATAGCTTTAAAGGGAAATAAGAATAATTTACCACAAATCCTGTTTCCAGTAAATTTAATAATATTTTCAAGCTAGAAGAAATTAAGGTAGAAATTCTGCTCCTTTAAATGTTTGAACCATCTACTTGAGGGAAAAAAAAATCACCCCTCCATACATCATTCTCACACATGAAGCACCAGCCTCTTACTTGACACAAGAGACTTTTCCAAATTAAAGCTTAAAATCGGGATAGCTGGAAGGACATTTAGGCAATTTGGACACCTCCTTCTCTGAATTCCCAGCGGCATTTCAGGTGTACGCTCCCAAAGGCTGCTCTGCCTTACCTGATGCCGAGTTCATGATGTTCTGCTGCACTGGCGGGCTGGTRGGCGCCGTGACATTCATCTGGGACAGCATGGCCTTCCGAGGGTCTTGCCAGGTTGTGGTCTGATCGATGTGACTAAAACAAAACAGAGCAGGGGTTAGGGCAGTCACGGACCCACAATAACAACCTGCCAGCACAGAGTTTAACAACAAAAGGTTAAGCCGGCGAACAACAGTCATGCTCAAATCCAGGCGCAAGATCTTTCTGGATCTTTTTCCCGGTGTTCCTGCAGGTCAGACACTCACACCCTCACTGCAGTCACTGCAGCTGCACCAATTACAGCTGGTCAGATAAGGGTCCACACAAATACCAGAATCTAGRGTCTTGTGCCCTAACTTTTATCTACAAATTAAACATTCTCTTCCTGTTTCTCTTTGATTAGCAACTTGTCATTTTTCAATGCGACTTCCGAATTTTTCAGACCAAGCCAGTTATGTCTGGAATCTCAAGCGGAGCCAAGTAACTTGGCGTGAGGTTTCGCGCTCGGCACTTTGTGCCAGYGCTCTGAGCACACATCATGTTCCCCAGATGGGTCATCTGAGGGGCTGCCCCTGCACCATCAACAGCCCAACAGCCTTTCTAGGGCGACTAAGTTGTCAGCCACACGAGAGCAATAACCAAGATGAAGGTGATGCTCTGCTACTTCTTCGTTTAATGGGAAAGGATGAGGCCAGTGGGATCGCGAGGTGTCTCAGTCAGCCCTCTGCAGAACCTAATGGTGAAATGTTTAGAGCCTGACCTAGCTTGAGAAGCTGGTAAATACATCCAGCATCACCACTCACAAAATCACTCAAGTCAATCAGAAAAATAAAATGTAACAAAACATCAGTATGCTTTGGAGTATGCACTTATGCTTTGCAAACAAGTAAGACATGCAGGCTATTCTTCAGCAAGTATCAGCGCATCAAGATTGCTCTGAAAAGTATATGCAGGCAAAAATAAARCTACACTAAGCTTTGACAGTAAAGMTTATTAATTCAACTAGAATTGTTATGAGTTAGAGCTGATAGTCTAACAGAATTGTTATTTTGCAAAATAGTCACATCATTAATCATTCTTTCCTTATACTGGGTTTTTTTTTTTTTCCCCTCTGGATTACCTGAAATGTAATTTTCTTCAGCAAAACCTCTGTTTATTTTCTTAAATGCTGGAATATAAATTATACTGCTCAACTGAGTTCAAAAAAAAGGAGGTATTCCAGTTCATACCTCGACTTCTACCTATGCTGTATGTTGTGCCGTGTATGTATCCTGGTGGAAATCCATACTGAAATACTAATCTCTYTGTAAACTTTGCACCTTAGACACTTGAAAGGGGCAGGTAATTTAGACCTGGTCACATTTGGGACAGATGCCCTGGGGACATTAACATCCGRCCTTGTCACCGCTGCCTAGAAGACCTCAATAAGCTCAGCTAGACACAACCACCTGAGCAGGTTTGGGAACATATTGAAGCCTGTGGTGAAMCAGGCTCCAGAAGCACCTACTTTTTCCATCAACTATAAACGGAATCCCTGGCAAGTAGGTCAAGCACCCTGCCCTGGGAGCGAGGAGCGCCAGCTTCGCGRTGGGTGTGCACGACCAGCGCGGCCAAAAGCTCTGCTCCTAAACCAGGATCTCGCCACGGGCCCAGCCGGACAAGCAAAACAGAAGGTTGTTTCCTCCCTGCCTCTGTGCCTAGACATTTTCTAAGGAAAGTTTTGACTCTTATTAACCAAAACGTGCTCCAGTGCATTAGTGTTTTCTAATTTGTTCCTTCATGTTCAGAAAATTCACTTTTTGAAAATAAGAATTTCTGGACATGGTTCACTATTTCAAAGACATGAAAATGAGCAAGCCCAACCTCAGAGGTTCATAAAATAGGGCATTGCTCAAACTAATTGCTCATGTAGAAGCATTAAAAGGACTCTTTGTTATAAGCTGGAAAGTATCATGAGTGGTTTTAGAGATAAAGTTTTACTTTAACACATGCAACTTTTCCCTCCATGCATTTTAACCTCTCCAGACATGCATAAAAACAATTCCAGGCCAAAAACTCACTGACACACTCCAAAAGGCTTACAAAGTAGGTGAGCATGGCATTTGTATGTATATAAATACATATTAGTAAACAATTCCCTGCTTTCTCCCCGTGGCAAACATCGCCCATTTTCCCGTGTACAGAACCCCCCTTATTACTGCAGCACAAGCTAAAGTGGTGTCGCTGCCCCGTCAGCTTCCGTGGCAAAGCTCATTCAACACAGGCAACGCTGAGTACACTTGCAGCTTCATTGCAAACGTTTCCCAACGTTCAGCTCGACTGAAAAAGCATCAAGTGCAGCACAATTTTATTTCCTTTTTAGCCTATTTACCAACATAACAGGACACAATATACTGACCTTTACACATCTGTACACACTAGATTATTCACTTTCATACTGTAAAATGCCTTTCTTCCCATTTTCCTGCTAGTCAATTCTACGAAGCAATGGCAGCAGGAGAAGGTAATACAGATAATGAAAACACTGCAGCGCTGCAATGCTCCCCAGGCTGTGTTTATTACAGTACCAGCAYGTGCCACTCCTCCCCGCTTCCTCCCATCTGCCAAGGGGGCTTAGCTCAGTGCTGCGAACAGGAAAAACGGTGGGAAAACACCACTTCATCCGAGCTTGCACGTTTATTTCCATATAACTCCCCTGAAGATCAACACATATTGCATATACCTTTAAATATGTGCCTATAAGGTAAGTTTTATTTGTATCTTTCATCATTAGCACTATTTAAATGCTGAATAAAAAAGGAGAAAAGTTGTATCACCATGTTATAGGATATTTGCAGAGTGAATTATTGGGAAAAGAAAAAAAAAAGTCCACACAGCTCTCTCTCAGAACTTGGAATATTGGATAAACGAAAGGATCCTGGAAATTTCAAAGGTAGAGCAAGTTTTGTGCATGAGGGAGCGTTCCTGACACCTCAGAGGTGCTGACACGGGGGCTGATTCCAGGCAGCAGCCCCCAGCCCTTCCCTTGCTGGCACCTCTGGACAGGCGCATCCCTCTCTTCACCAAAACCCCCAACCAGCAAGAGCCGCAGAGGAGGCAAGTCTGGAGGAAGCTGATGACACTAAACCCATACTAATCATAAGGCTGGTTCAATATGACGCCAGGCTTCATCCTCTCCGTCTCCACTCTCTGCTTTCCGACCGACATTTCAGTCCCCTCAATCCCTTCACTTCCACCTCCTTCAACCTCCACTCCCTGCACAGGCTGCTTTTCCTCAGCTCCCTGGATGACGGTTTCTTGGAAGGGAAACAAAGACAAGAAGACAGACATAACAACAAAATCCCAAAACACAAAACAGTTCTTTACAATTTGCAAACATGCTAACCAACTTAAGGAACGCAAGCTATCATTTATCCATTTTTTTATAACAAATTATAGCACTAAGTTAATGAATACAGCTCAATTTTATTCAGTATCTGCAGCACTTCCAGCAGGGTAACTATATGTTGCAAGAAATATGTATTTCTCATTATCTATGTAAGTACTTAAATTAAACTTAAATTCTACCTGCCCATCAAACAGAATCACAGCTCTGTATTGCAAGCACAGCACAATTTTTTGGTATTAATGCAACATACCACATGCCAGAACCTTTGTCAGACTAAATTTCTGAACAAATTTAAATAGGAATCAAAAAGAAACATACCTCAAATCAGGGACCATTCCTACGATCTGTGAACGTGTACATCTTCAAACTAGGTATGACATGAACTATAACATTGAATGCTGTGACAGAAACAGACTAACATAAAAGGATGCTCAAAAAATTACTTAAATTCCTCAAGAGGCCTCAGGAGGTACACAACCGTATGCAACCAGGCAACTACGAGCTTTATTTAAGGGTCCTTCAGTTTTTATATGTGATAGCATTGCAACTATAGCGTTCCAGGTCGTGGACACTCTTCTCAAACCACGTTGAGGACTTCATTCACTCAGTGCAGTTCCTGCCTGTTACAGAAGTGGGCTTCTTTATTCCTTTATTTTGCCCTTCGTAGTTTAAAAGCATCACAATTATGGTGCTCACAACAGCACTCTGGGTGTGAGCCTCCCATACAAGTTCAGTTCAACCACTTGGAAAGGAAGGAAAGTTCTCAGTCATGAGAAAGGATCTTATCCGATCAGATCAGATTTTGTCCATCACTCCTTGTTTCCCTCTCCTGTTATGCATCATTCTGCATAAAAGAACCCCACAGAGCAAATGAGGCACAAACTTTCAGAAACCTGCAGGAAGGAAACTTATTGTTCAGCTAAAAGCATCCCCGTAAGGAACTAGATTGATATTTCTTTCTCAGTACTCGGTAATTTTCCTATGTCTTGCTACGTAGGCAAACTTAAATTTTACAATCAATGGATAGTTTTAGGGGTAGATTTAAGACTTCACTGGAAGCCATTTTATAATATTTATTTATTACTAAAAACAAAACACAAATATGTACCAATCACATAGCAGCAGACCTAGCACAGCATTGTGTATTCTTTATGGGTTGGGGGTAGATGGCCTTTATGCAACAAAAGCAAGAGCACAAATGAAGTTAAATCTTACTATTTTTAACACTTGGTGTGAAATTTCAACTTCTCTTGGAATCCCAAATATAAATCTAGGTGAATCTACAACACAATTTTACCCTGAACAACTGAGCTACAGATGTTTTCTCTTCATATATATTTTTTCCCTGTCTTATGTTTCTGTTTTCCTCCATTTACATACCATGTAATAATCTGGAAAGCTTTTCTCATTTATTTCTTTTTATCCAAGAACCTTAGAGACTAGACAACTTGTGACCAGTGTGTCTGCTCACAACTGCTATTACTACATTATTTTGGAGCTCTCACCGGTATGTTCTTACGCATCAGGATTGAATATATTTACACTGAAAGTTGGATGTTCTGGTTGCACTAGTCAAAAATATTTTGTAGCTTTGTTATTATAACTACCATAAATGCTCTCAGAGAAGCCGCTTCAGGCTGGACTCTGCCAAATCTCCTGAAGCCCTGGACTTTTTCTAGGCAGTTTAGACAGGGCAAGATACCCACTG